ATAATTCTGTGTTCAGTTCAGGCACAATTATCCAACACAAACACACAGACTCAAGCACCAGACTGGACGCAGGAAACCTAGTTGTTAGTACAGATATTCCCGTAGCCTCAGCAGGTTAGTTAATCTTTGAACTTCTCTCATCTCATTTTTTTTCCTGTGGTAAGTTAAAAATGTACATGGACTCAGTATTTCTTGAGGAATGCAGGGCATTATTAGAATCGTCTTCTCCCCTCCCTGTCTCACATACATTTCCCAAGAAGCTGGTGCTCCCTTCCCCACCCCAAAGTCGTGATAATAAGAGCATGTGCTATATTTCGCAGGTGTCTTGAGAAGGGAAAGAGAGAGAGGAAAGACCACTGGACTAGATGATGGACGTTCTCAGTTCTCTTTTCCTCTAACTTCCAGCTCTAAGATTCTACTCATCAGAAATCTTTACAGAGATTCCTTCACTTTCTTCTGCAATAAAAAAATAAAAAGAGACTTCACTCCCTTTAGTTTCTGCCTTGGCTTTTTGTCCTCTGTGGGGGGTGTTTTATTCAAGAGTGTCTCTTAGTATAAAATATACCAAATGACAGAAGTCATTCAAGCCTTAGAAACTTAACATTCATCAGGAATAGTTCCTAGTCAATGGAAATGAACTTAAACTGGAATCTAAGAATCTCAGAATGTTGTAATCAGAGCAAGAGACCTAAGACTAGTGAAATCTCCTCAGTTTTACTGAAAAAAAAAAGAAGCTCCATGGTCACTATTACCTCCTTCCTCATTATGGACAAACATGTGTGCCAAGAAATCTGGTCAATGGAGATGTATGTATATGTACCTGTGTGCGTGTGTTTGTTAATACATATATGTGTTCACATATGTGTGTAAGTATGTGCATATACGAGTCTTAGCAAGACTCTAAACTTCATCTTTTAATGTAGTTACCAAAAGTGAAAGCACTGGACGATGAGATGGTATGTAGCATCCTTCCCAAAGTTGAGATTTTTCTTCCAGAACTTTTTATATGCATATCTTTGATAAATACTCATAGTATTCTTCACCTGGTTATGTTAACTTTCTTCATCTCAAGTTCTATTGGTTGTCCATAGAGTAAGCTCTGTATATGCCCTTATTCCTCACGATCATTAAGGCACTGTGCGTCAACATGGTGATGCTCTGTCTCCTCCATGAGGCACCATAATGCAGGGCCACAGAGTGTGGGCTCCAGTGACAGACTGCCTAGGTTCAAGTCCTGCTTCCACAACATGCTAGATGGGCAACCTTGGGCAATAGTTAACCTCTTTTATTAGTTTCCTAGAATGATCATAACAAAGCACCACAAACTGGGTGACTCCGAACAACAGCAATTTATTGTCTCACAATTTTGGAGGCTAGAAGTCCAAATCAAGATGTCCTCAGGGCCATGCTCCCTTGAGACTCTGAGTAGAATCCTTCCTCATCTCTTTCTTCTGGGGAGGACCAACAATCCTCGGAGTCTTAGCTTGCAGCTGCGTCACTCCAATCTTTGCCTTCTCCCCTCATATGTCTGTGTCTCTTCTCCTCTAATCATAAGGACAACTGTCATGTTGGATTTTGGTCCCACTCTACTCCAGTATGCCCTCATCTTAACTAATTACATCTGCAATGACCCTATTTCCAAATAAGGTCACGCTCTGAGGTACTGGGGGTTAGGATTTCAATGTATCTTTTGGGGAGACACAACTCAACCCATAACACCTCTCATTATTCCTGCTTCTTCCTCTGTAAACTAAGGATAATAATAATGTCTATCTCACGGGGCTGTTATGGGTAGGGAATGAGTTTGTGCCCATAAAGCACTTAAAACATTTCCTATCAATAAAATGTTAGCTATTACTGAAAGTATTTGGAAAGCAGTTGTCCTAACACAACTGTCATGATAATCACAATCCTAAACTTAACTGAAGAGGTACTTTTGCAGAATAAAAAACAGATATTAAGTGCAAGTTCTGACTCACGTTTCTCCCTCTCTCATATTGCACAGAAAAATCCCTGATCCAATACTAAGAGGGCATCTGGGTTACAGAGATATGAAATTTTCCTGGAGGAGGTCCATATTTCACAGGACTAATAGGCAAACCTAACTAATACGATGACTAATTGTGGCTAAATAATAATTTAAAGATTTTAAAGTTCTAACCAACGTGCTAACAAGTATACATATTCTTAAATAAATACATATTTATTATGTGTGTGTGTCTGTGTTTGTGTATATTTTTTAAGCTTCCTAAAATTCTCCCACATTCATACTAGACTTTGGCATTGGATACCATTGGAAAAGCAACAAAAGCACAAAAAGGAACAAAATAGGCTGAAATTTGCTTTCCAGCTTCAGAGCAAAGGTCCTGATACAAGCTGGTGATTTCCAAAATGTGATGCTCATCATTCAGGTAGTGTACAAGAAAAAATTTCGAATGCAAGAGGAAAAAACTAGAATTAATATTAATATTTATTTTGTTTTATCTTTAAAGATGTTTATTTTGTACATTTTATGTGTGTAACATATTTATATGAAATATGTCTATATAAATCATAAGTGAATACACATATATACGGGGAAATTCAATTTTTTTGGAGGTGTGATCAAGAGTTTTAAAATAACCGATTTAAGCAACAGATTTGCAAAGTTATAATAAAGATTCTATTTCTTAAGCTAGGTGGTAGAGACACAAAATTAATTTTTTTTGGTTATCTTTTATGCTTTATGATAATATTGTTCTCAGAAAAATTAAAAAGAAAAAACACATCTGTTAGAAGCATTACTCCTATAAGCAATGATGTTAAAGAGTGCTGTTTTGGGACTTCAGTGGCATTCAGGAGATGTTACAATCCTGATTCATATTCATAGAGCACCACATGAAGGAGCCACAGTAATATTAATCTTTTACAACTGAGGGTCTGTAAGAGTAGGGTAGAATGTAGTTGATAATCTGAATGGGAGGATACTATTATTCAGAAGAATATAAGCTGAGCCAATACGCAAAATGCAGAGAAGAGCTATGAACTGTGAGGGTCTCCAGGACAGAGCCCTGTCCCCTGCCCCATCCAGTGGTGGTAGAGTATGGGACACAAGAAGATAGAGTTGGAGATCCAACTGCACATCCCTGGAGAAGCTTTGCAAATTTTCTCTGGACCATCTTGGAACAGTTTCAATAGAACAGAAATGGCTGTGAAGGCTGCAAGTACCTAACACAGGCCACCAAGAGTCCTGCAGACCCAGATGGCACAGGAGGGCACCACAATTTTTGGAGAGGGAAGGTTGCTACCTGACGGCGACTTGTGGTTAAAATGAGTAGACAGAACAACAAGGACTGACTGCCAACCACAGACCAAATGGGAAATATAGATGTCATAGGAAATGACAGCCAGAATAGGAGACAGCAACTAGAGAAGTAAAGATGAGCAGGAATAAGGAGACAGCAGCAATGCCCTGTGGGCTGTGAGCAGTTTAGTCCCAAAGACCCTATGTCTCCATTGCCTTTACCATCTGCACTCCAGGGAAAACCTCAAATTGACTAGTATACCCAGAATCGAATTAAATAAGATTATCATCATTGGTGGGATGGCAGCTGTAATGGGTTGATTGAATTGTGTGCCCTCAAAATTAATATGTTAAAACCCTAACCCTAGTAGCTCAAAATGTGAGCTTATTTGGAACTGAGACAGAGTTAGTTAAGATATAACTAGTTAAGATGAGGTCATACTGGAGTAGGATAGGTCCTTAATCTAATATGACTAGTGTCCTTATAAAAAGGGAAAATTGGGACACAGAGAATGACATGTGAGGATGAAGGCAGAGATTGGGGTGATGATTCTACAAGCCAAGGAACACCAACGATTGCCAGGAAATCATCAGAAGCTCAGCAGAGAGTCATGATAGAGATTCTCCCTCATAACCCTCCGAAGGAATCAACCTGCTGACACCTTGATCTTGGTCTTCTAGCCCCCAGAACTGAGACAGAAAATGTCTATAGTTTAAACCATCTGGTTTGTGGTACTTTGATATGACAGCTTGAACAAACTAATACAGGAGCTCAAGGTACAGTTTAAAAGAATTACAGAAAAATGAAGGTATAACATTTTATATTTCTGAGCATACAGTTTGAAAAAGTAATTGCCACCCACTGACATATTCAACAACAATCTACATGCCTAAGAGATAACTCCATAAATAATGGCTGAAATTTACCTGCATCTTGGGAGAAATAACTAAATCTAAATGCTGTACCTAGTATACCCAGGGCCATCCTAAAGATTATATTAGAAGGCAAAAATCTCTGAACAAAAGTATATATTTCTCTGTTAACTTGTATCTAAAGTCAATAGGAAAAAAGTTCAATAGAAATCCCCTATATAATAAAAACATATTTCTTAGGCAATCGTTGAAAAACAGGCCAAATGACTCTCTATGGCTTATTTTTCTCTTCATTCTACTTAGGATTCCTCCATTCCCCAACCCCTGTTTCCTAGAAAATAAAATCATTTTCTTCATCTGAAAAGAATACCACAGCTCTCCTGTTAGCTCCATTGCATTAATAAACTCCAGTGGGCTATGTAAAAGCTGTTCCACACAAGCTTCCAAGATATGCCCAAGAACTAGATTTTATAAAAGTTTTAACTTTTATAAAGATTTTTATAAAGTCTACTTTTTATAAAATTTACTTTTTATAAAGAACTCTTTTATTGCTCCTTAAGTCTGTGCAGCAGCTAAATCAAAGATTATCTATGATCACTTCATGATCTTCAAATGTTACGATCGAGCAATTCTTTGGAATATTATTTTATCCTCACCCAACTAAAAAGGAGCAGATGGCAACAATTTATTTTTTTATTTCCTTCTCACTTAGTTCAAAAATTAACAGACATTTATACATTCAGTTACCTTTATTGTAAATCCTCTAATTGCAATGATTTTTCTTTTCTGTTAACTCAGTAACTCCCTACGGTAATTCTGCTCTAAGCTGGTATGAAGTGGGTAGTTAATAAAAGTTGTTGACAGTCTGGTTGACTTGATTGGAAAAAAATGAAATCATTCTCTTGCAAGCAGGTAAAAGGACTTCAAGTCATGACACTTTCTACAATGCAAAGATCAGTCACCAGGAAAATATATATCAGTAGTTGGCATGGGAACTAATGTGAGCTCATTACTATTCATTTTCAAAACTTTTTAGTAACACATGAAGTATTTTATAAAATTTAAAAAGCAATTCATGGACAAGTTAAAAAATATTTTAAAATGAGTTACCACTTTTGATTCTCTTTTTAAAAAATTAAGTATCTTGATCAGTAGACAGAAAAATTAAATTGGGAATAAAGCCATAGGGCAAGCAATGTTTTTTAGGATCTAATACTCTGTCACTCGGTCCTGATACCTCTACTTCATTTCTGGAGGAGTAAAAACTACACACAGCTCATTTGAGAAGTAGAGCTCTTGTAGATACCATGTCTATTGGTAGAGGAAACGCGAACTGTACTGACATGTGCATGTAGGTGATCAAAAAGGTAAAGAAAGGTTGCTGTAATAACCAGTGCCATCTGTTGTTTTGAAACCATTTAAAGTCAAGGCATTTGGAGAATGAGAAAAGGGCATGACAACAGTGGTGGCCATTGCTCCAAAGAGAAGGCATATCTTCACGTGAAAATATGATCAGTTCAAAACTTAGCAACCCCTGTGCAGGATGTCCTCCCTGTTCTTGACTCATGAGCTATGTCATTCCCCATCCTGCAAGTCTGTAGTTATTATAATTCATGACAGATAAGCTTCACCTATTGTTAAACTTTAAAAGTATCCCATTTTTAATCATTCTAGATAATGTGACTTGTCTTCGTTTTGCATTGGCGTACAAACATTTACTTTGGAAAATAGCTTTACCAAGTTATAATATAATGCATAAAATAACATAAATATATGTTAAACTTCTGAGTTACAAATCATTTTAATTCATATAATCTTATTTGATTAACAAAATAGCACAAAAAATAGAAAACAAGTATTACCATCCTCACTTATAGAAAATTCTTGGTTAATATCTTTAAATAATTCCTCCAAATTTTTAACCAAACTCTCAAGTCGCCCACTCAACGCAGGTACCCTCAAACTCAGGAGCAAGAGTGAAATCCCCTAACTTCCTCTTCTTCCTTCCTCTTACCTTATCCTCATCCACTCTGCTTTCCTCTCTCCAGCCCCAGACGCTATGTCAAGTTCCCCTCCTTTCAAAGAGCCTTGATTTCTTTGCCTTCTGGTTCTTTGCAGCCCTACTTCCTCTCTTTCCTCTATTTCAAACTCAGTTTCATTGTTAGCACCTTCCGCTTATACCATAAAATTGAACAAGTGTCTCCTGTTCTTTACAAAGTGTAATCAATACTCCCTCGATCAAACACATGTCCCTGTTTCTAGTTTCTATTACAAATCAATTCTCCCTTTCTTACTCAAATCTCCAAAAAGGTAGTTTTCACTCCCAGTCTCACCTTTTCTCTACAATCAGATTTTAATCCCATCATTCTACTGACACTTTTCTACCTAAGATGATTAATATCTTTTTATTCTTTAATTCTGTTGACATTTAAGTCCTTACCTTATTGGTTGCTTCTCTATTCTTTGGCATATTCCCCTCTTTCTCCCACCCTCCTCCTTATCCTTCTCTGCCTCCTCATCCTTCTCCATCACGCCTAAAGACATAGTACCAGAAAAATCCATATTCCCCAATGCATCTTAGAAAAGATAAGGCAAACAAGAGGAATAAAAAACACTGCAGCATTTATTGTGAAGAGAGTTAATTAAACCTAAGACAGTCTTTACATTACTGAATCACACTAGGTTTTAAGCAGGCTTGAACTAAGTTATATTTTATTGTTTAGTTTTGTTTTATTTTTTTCCCCTGGCAGTCACTGAACAGTTGGAAAATAGGAAGAAAGTTCATGAGGAACATCAGAGAAAATAAAAAAGGAATTAAAAGCAATATTTCCTTTGCATGTCAAAATATCCAAGTTTCAAGATAAATAATGTAAAGTTGAATCTGCCACATACACACACTTACCAGTTTTCTTAAAATTAGCAATACATTGTGTACATTATTCTGAGCCTTAATTATTTTTCCACCTAAAATATATCTTGGAGAATTTTTATCAAGAACTGTGAAGGGGGGGCTGAGATCAGATTTTTCCTTCTTTGAAACTAACAAATTAGCCTGCCACTGTTTCAATTCTGGCATAAGACACGAGATTCCTGGGTCAGAGTCAAAGGACTTCATTACCCACTTCAACAGCAGTGGCTGAAATATCAATGTGAGTCAGTTATCTAAGCCCTCATTCCCACAGGACAATATGAAAAGGGCCAGGTGATGCTTGCACATGCAGTGGGTTGTGTTAGAGGAGAGGAACCTCCAGGATAAGGATCCTGAGTCTTTTATAATGGGCAGTAAGCATGCCTGAGCATGCCCCAGAAGGAGACATTATTTTATTACACTAGGCTATAAATGAACTTCCCTTTGCTCCAGAGGGAGACACCAGGTCTATCTTCCAAGGCTGTTCTCTGATATTCTGGAATGAAAGCAATCAGTGCCCATGTGGACAAAAATTAGGGAAACAGAAGAGACCTGTGGAGAACTATCTCCCAACACCTCTTTATATCAATATCTTAGCCCATAGAGATCTACTTTACACTTTCTAACAGATGCATAATGACCCATTGTATATAGCCACAATAATTTAGCCATCCTTTATTGATGTGCATTTAACTGGTTTTGATCATTTACCACTATAGTGTTGTCATAAGTATTCTTCCTTACACATGCATCTTTGTGCAGAAGTGTGAATAAATCTGTGAGATAAATTATTGTAAGTGGAGTTTATGGATGAAAGGCTATGCATATCATTAAAATTTTAATAGATATAGACAGATTTGTTTCCAAAACTATACTAAATACACTCCCACCAACAATGTGTAAGGATACATTTGCCAACACATAACACAGAATATCATCAAATAACCTGTGTAGATCTGAGCTTTAAAAATTATACTAGATATTTTCATTGGCATGTGTCAACTATGGATGAGATTCAACATCTTTTCATTGGTTTATAAATCATTTTTGTTTTATAAACAAAATCATTTTTGTCTGATTTTCTTAGAATTTTCTGCTTGTATATTTTGCCTATTTTTCTATTGGCTTGGTAGACATTTTTACGATTTTTATGAGCATTAGGTTTTATATGTTAAAGAATTTAGTCTTTTGTCTACCATTATATTGCAAATATTTTTATGACATTTATAGTTTCTAATACTCCTAAATCATATGATCAATTTCTTTCATGCTTTCTTGAAAGTTTGATTTTATTCATAAATCTGGAATTCTTTTGATATAAGAAGTAAGGTAAGTGTCCATATTTACTTTTCCACGTAGCCAGATAGGTTTTCCAACACCTATGAATGGTTCATTACTTTCTCATTGATTTAAAATGCCAACTTTATCAAATACTACATTCCTGGATATATATCTTTTTCTAAATCCTGTATAATCTTATATTGATATCTGTTAATTTATGTGTGAATATCAAACGTTTTAAAAGCTCAAGTGTAATAATGTATTTTAAAAATATTTGGTAGGTCTGGTCTCTCTTTTGTATTCTTTGTTTCAGTATTTATCTTTAGATTCAGTTTATTTAATTCCAAAAATAAATCTTCTTGGAACTTTTGGGAGAGAGGAGTTAACTATGTTAAATATAAAGATTAATTTAGGATAAATTCAAAGATATACATTAATGTATAATGTAAAAACAGAGTCTGTCAATTTCAATTAATTGACTACTATATTCTCTTATCCCTTACAACAGTCATTTTCGCAGATGATTATTTTGTTTTGTTCTGTTTTAGGTATATAAGGTCTCAACCAAGTTAATGATAGTTAAATAATTAAAAATAACTATGTTTTTCTTATGTTTAGTTATGTTGGCTTCCACATATAAAACAATGTTAAAGATAGTACCAAGAAAAGATACATGTTTCTTATTCTTCACTTAAATACACTAAACTTAATGCTACTTTTGAGGAGATCTATGATATATATTCTTTTCACATACAGAAAACATTAATCTATTTTATTGTATTAATTCATCATTTTAAGTCAGAAATAATTGTTAAATTTTATCAAATGACTTTTCAACCTCTTTAGAAATGATCACGTCTTTTCTAGATTGGCTTATCAATATCGTAAACTATAGTTAAAGTACTAAAAGTAAACCAATCTTTCCTTTCTTATACAGACACCATTGCAAATGGTATAATATCCTTAAACATGTTGCTGGGTTTTTTTTAAGCATTTGAGGTGATGGTACTTTTAAGAATTTAAAAACATAACTATGGTCAGTAGGCTTATTTAGTGTTTTATTTCTTCTTGTGTTCATTTTACAAAATTTTAGGAAATTATCCATTTCATCTAGGTTTTAAAATTTATATGCATAGAGATTATTTTGTTTAACACTACCAGATCCTTTTGTATACAGTCATGTGTTGCTTAATAATAAGCATATGTTCTGAGAAATGTTTCCTTAGGCGATTTCACCCTTGGGTGAACATCACAGAGTGTACTTAGACAAACCAGATGGTATAGCCTACTACACACCCCAGCTATATGGTACTAATCTTATGGGACCAACGTTGTATACTTGGTCCATCATTGACTGAAACATCGTTATACAGTGCATGACTGTATACCTAAAGAAGTGTTAAGGGGAAAACATCTCCTTGCGTATCTTTATACTAAAGAAGAAAGAACATAAGGAAATTAAGCTTTTAATTCAAAAAATAAAGTCATAAAATAACAATTTTTAGGAAAGAATAAGGAAGGATCCATTAAAGATGAAATCGGAAATTAATAAATTAGAAAGTAGCCACATAAACAAGTAAGCCTAATAAGTCTAACAGCTAGTAAAACGGGAAAGCCATTAGCTATCAAAATAAATAGAAAAAAAGGAAAATGGATGTTCACAAAA